AATATTCAAACATTGACTAAAACTTTAAGTAATAAAATATTGCAAAGGTGTAACTTAATAAACTAATAGCTTAAGATCTCTTTTTTTATTTTTTTATATTGGGATTACCACTGCTATAATCATTATGAAAAATATGATTAAATTTAAAGATATAAAAAGATTCACTTAACATAGAAATAAATCTTTGAGGTTTATTCTGGCTCTGTTGATATGGGAAAACAAGCAGATGACTAAAGAAAGCAGAGCGCACCCAGCTTAGAGTTATTGTTAGAATAAGCTAATTAGACCTTAACCCTCAGAAGGTTGAATTATTTTCTTGTGAATAGCACCTGGAAGTAAATGGTCTCTTTCTGATGGACTGAGGAATGAGGTTGAAGGCTCCCTTCTCTAATGAGCATGTCGGTGACCTCTAACATCAGAGGTCACGTGCACCTGTGAAGCACAGAGGTGGTGGTATCTTCAGAAAATGATTCCCCTGAAATGTGAGTAGGTAAAGTACAGTAGGCTTTCTACATGGTTTCTACACTGATAATGAAAAGCAGAAGTCACAATGTAACCCTTGCCACCCATAACAAAGGACACAATGTCAGCTGGCATCTCCATAGAACAGAAACATTTTTTTAAATCAGCCATTGTGTAAGCACTAACCAACATAGTAACAGCAGAATCGCGAAAATAGAATATATATATATATATATATATATATATATATATATATGTATTATGTATATATACATTTAAATTTAACTTTCTTGGTTGGTAATTTTCAATCAAAGAGATACAGCAGAATTCAGTACCGTTAACTGAACACATAATGATATTAATAAATAATATGTCTTTGTAATATATGTAAACTTTGTTATTCAAATAACAAAGAAGTAATAAATTTTTCCCAAGGTAAGTTGCTTTCACAATGAAATCACCCATCTTGTTAGATGATAGCATAGTGCTAACTTGGCTAGCATGCTCATGGCCCAGAGTTTGATCCTTAGCAATACACAAACACAACAGAGAGAGAGAGAGAGAGAGAGAGAGAGAGAGAGAGAGAGAGAGAGAGAGAAACACACAAAAACAAATCCAGAAAAGTATTTTAAATATTCTTTCATCACACTTGAATACCATAACTAACAACTGGTTAGTTATGAGCAGTAAGATCTCATTTGTCTATCTTCCATTATGGAGTTTGGAATGGATCAAAATTTTCATTTTAACCAGTAAATGTATAATCACTACTGCTTACCTCAAAATATTTCTACTTAACCTTGAAATTAAATGTGCACCGTTAACACAAATTTCAAAAAGGCTGAATCCATACCTTCAATGTAAAACTCCATGCCTGTGTGAGTTCTTTTTTTAAGATATCTACAACAAACTGGAAAGTCAATGAGGGAGAAATCCCTCAACTAGGCCTCCAAACACATATCTGCACATGCACGCAAGTGTGCGCTCACACACAGAGAGACAGAGAGAGAAAGAGAAAAAGAAAGAGAAACAGAAACAGAAAGAGACACAGAGACAGAGAATGAGACAGGCAGAGAGAGAGAGAGAGAGAGAGAGAGAGAGAGAGAGAGAGAGAGAGAGAGAGACAAGCAGAGAGAGAGAGAGAATAGAAACAGGAGAGACATACTCCCACTCAAAAGAAAGTTAAAATTTTTTTAAATGTACATTACAGTATTTTCCCTAGTCTAGATAATTAAATATCTCAGAAAATTCATCATATTTCCTAGCTTCTTCCCCGTGCTTTCTTACAAAGTTAATAACACTGGGCTCTTCTGAAGGTTCCTACCATCATCTTTCCTAAGAAAGAAGGGAAACACAGAGCCTCTGCCCTAGTTACACTGAAAGTGGGAGACTCCAACCTGCCAGACACAAAAGTAGCACACTCGGACTGTGGTGAGTAAAAGAGGCACTAGCTAGTTGTCTGAAAGTGTTATCAGGAACACAGCCCTTGCCCTAGCCCAGTACACCTCAGCCTTCCTAATGCTGCAACCTTTTAATATGGCTCTTCATGTTGTGGTGACCCCCAACCATGAGATTATTTTCATTGCTACTTCGTAACTTAACTACGCTATTGTTATGAATCTCAATGCAAATACTTTTGGAGACTGAGGTTTGACATTGCAACCCACAGGTTGAGAACCACTGTCCTAGTAGGCTGGGAGGCTCCAGCCTTAGAAGTCATCTTGAAATGGGCACCAACCAGAATATTAGGCACAATGTCAAAACCATGACATTTATTGGAGAAAGAGTCATGCTACACTCAGCATCAGGAGAGTGAGCAACAAACAGGACAAACACTCTTGGCCTCACAGATACTTATGAAAGTAACAAGCCAAGAATCCACTTTGTTTCTCAACTGTCCAGAAACAAAACCCTTTCGTGGAAACGTACTCTTACAAGTTCCTTTTTCTGTTGGTAGGTTCATGAATCTAAGCTTGACATCCTAGTATTTCCAGCAAAACATTTCCCTTAGAGTATCTTCCTCTGGAAAAGTCTGTGACGAGCAGATCAAAAAAGGTAGCTTGAACATTGCTTGCACTGTTGTGAAAGAGGTTGCTGGAATTTTGCCTGGTTTCAGTTGTGGTTTTAACAACTACATTATCTTGGCATGTCATAGGTTTTCGAAATGCTTCCAACTGGGTACTTTGTGAGTATAGAAAAATGCCAATTAAATAATGTCTTCTGACCCTAAATACGTACAATAGGTGCATGATGGCCATGATCTCTTAGGAAACAAATATATACAGAAATTCCAAGTTTCAACTTTTTTCAGATATATTCTGTCTTAAATTTTAAGTAAAAATGGTTATTTAGTGTATTGTTTCCATTTTTTTTTCATTTATGCAAGGGAAATCAAGTCCCCTAAATCATACTGGAGCTTGTCTGCATATAAGCTCACTTCTTAGTCATCAGTCCTCTCTGTAAAGTGCAGCATGAAACTGAATCATCCCTCGCTTTCACCTCCCACCTTTGTGCAGCATTTGCTTTGTCTCACCAAGTCTTCTTGGGGAAATATGTAGGCTCCTTTAGTTTCACTGATCCACAGATTGGACATATACAATTCTAGCTCATGAAAAGTCTCTATATATGCTAGAAAAAAATAAATGAGGGGGGTTTAATCATTTGTTACATGTGACAGTTTGAAAAGCGCCATCATTTTTCTCTTGACGAATATATAAAAGTATCATTTGGAATCATTTAGTTAAACACGATATCAAGGAAAAAAACATTTAGCACATTTGTGAACGTTACCACTGAATGTCATAATTTTAATATCACTCTCATTTTGGTTAATAAGATTGTTGACTATTTTCTTGCAGTGGTTTTATTTTTAAAAAATTATGGTATCATTTGCATTAAATTTCCATGCAGGAATCAAAAAGAGATGATATTCAAACCAGATTCCAATTCCCACTTTTAAATCTCTATAGAGTGTAATTATCCTAATTTGCCTTAGATAGAGCAAGACCATCTATGAGTTTGCTTCCGCGAATATCTTCCTCACAGAGGATATATGTTTTATTATTTGGGAGGCTTTTTAAGCCTGAACATTCTTTCAATCAGACTCAACTGCAGACAATACATAGCATTAGCTAGTTTAAGTCCTTCAGTAGAATTTTCCTATGTGTTCTTCCAAATAAGCATTTTAAAATTAAATCTTTCCTAAAATCCATCCACTCTGTGCACAAGAAATAGAGACTGCTGGTTTTTTGAGACGATAAATATCTCAGGGAAGATGGAGAGTCAACCCAAGCCTTGTAGAGCTATATTCTACAGTTAACTTGATTCAGAACTGTGGACAGCTCCCTCCCCTGCAAGCCCGTAATGGCAATTTCGGTTTGTTTCTAAAAGCTACTGAAGTAATGCTTTTTGTTGCTATGTTTGCTTGCAGTTTACCAGGAGCCTATGCATACGCTCAGTGTGCACATACACCCTTTTCGTTGTTGTTGTTGTTTTTTGTTACCGTTGTTTTTGCTTTCTCTAGTTCGAGCGAATTAAATAAACAAACAAGTAAATATCACCTCGAGTTACTAGTTTGGGATTTTTCAGAAAGAAGCTCTGCCTGTGTTCAGGACCGTGTCGCACTAATTAGAGGATCTACTTCACGACCTTCATTTGTCAGTCTCTAAACATGCTTATTAACCAAATGAATACTCGGGCCACAAATAAGATCAGGAAACTCATATTAATTTTCTCCTGCTGACAGCTCTGCTGCCCTTCCTCCCAGGCTGGGAAACTGGAAAGACATTCTGAAATGGATTTGTAGTCAAGGTCAAGAGCGGGTGTCGCTCTATTTCAGAAAGGGGGCTCTGGAAACGACCCCCCCCTCTGTTTCGGGAACTCGAGGCTTCCTGTCAAGTTCTTGCCCAGTAGGGCAGCGCCCGCTCCGCTGAAACCTCCAGTCAGAGACTACCCAAGCGCAAGTGCCCTTCCTGTGCTTGCCAGCCACTGATCTGGAGAAATTCAGTGGTGACAAGGGTGCCTATAAGCATAAGAACAACAGATTAACACTCCCAGGGGCGAGAGTGGCAGGAACAGCTAGGACCTGTGAGTCACTGCCTCCAGTTTTCTCATCTCCGGGATCCCAGAAGCATCTTTTTTAGTCCCCTTTGGGAAACTGCGCTTAGCAAGGATACCTGCCCCGTCCTAACACTCCCATTACAGAAGTAAAAGTTTCCCTAGTGCAACTTAGCAACCTCTTGTCCATTGGTCACTGTGGCCTTCTTTCCTCCTCGTCTGTCCCCAAAGTTCACCAGGCAAAGGAGAAGAGTCTCCCTGGCGCTCCGGGGAGAAGAAACTCCCTACCCTAAACCTTTCCTCTGTAGAAACTAGTTGGAAGAGTGGAATGTGGCCAGTCTAAGTAGAAGCCTCCAGCATCGCTGCCCCGCCTGCCCCTCACCCCACTGTGAGTCCTCGGGGCGCCCCTTCCCAGAGGCGGGATAGGATGCTGGGAGGTGCGTCAAGGGGAGCAGGGTGGGGCGGCTCCAGGGAGCTCTCACCTGAAGTCACTGTACGGATGGATAATCCAGAAGCCTGCAGTTTTAACCCTTTCCTGCTCCTTCTCCACCGCCTTCTGGCTCCCGAACATGCGGAGGGAGAATTTGTTGACCCCAGGCTGCAGCATGGAGGTGAACTGCCTCTGCATGAAACCATACTGCCGCCGGGGCCCCTCGGCATCCTCGAAGCTGCCCGCGGGTTCCTCTCCTCCGCCGCCGTCCACCTTGAAGCACACGGAGTTGCCGTGTTCCTTCCCGGCCGCGCCGCCCCCCGGAGGGGTCCCCAGACGCTTGTCGGCCGCCGCCGGCCCCGTCGCGGGTGCCTTGGAGGGGAAGACGCTGTTGCCATCGTCGCGGCTGTTGGACGCGGAGTTGGGCTTGCCGCTACCTTCCATGCCCGGAGGACGCGACGGGCGACGGCGCGGGCTCCAGACTCGCTGGGGACTCGAGGCCAAGGGGCAGGGACCGGAGCCGGCTGCCCGAGAGTCCGGCTGCCAGTCCCGGCGGCAGCGGCGGCGGCGGCGGCTACTGCTTCCCGCCCGCCCGCCCGCGACGCTGCTCCGCTGCGCGCCTGGCTCCCGCCGCCGCCGCTGCCTTCAGTGGCTGCGCTGCGGGCTCCGCCGCGCTCCCGGCTCCGCCGCGCCTGGTGCTGAGGCTGAGGCTGCGGGCGCGGGGCGAGGCTCCGCCGCTCGGCACTCTCGAGCCAGCGCCGCCCCTCGGCTGCCCCCTGCCGGCCACACACCGCCGCTCCCAGCGCGCTCCCCGCCGCTCTCCTGTGCCACTTCTGCCCAGCGTGACATTGAACTCCGGAGCCCGCCCCGGACGCGTATTTGTACGTCTAGAGGGAGGCTCGCTGGGTGTGGGTTTGCAAAAGTGGGAGGAGAGAAAAGGAAAGGAGGGGGAGGTAAAGGGGAGGAGGGAAACAACAGAGGAGGGAGAAATGGAAGAAGGGAGGGAAGGAGGGG